ATCTATTGCCGCAAACTTCTCATGGCCATTGTTTCAAATGGACGTCAAGAATGCATTTCTCAATAGAGACTTATAGGAGGTGTACATAGAGTTACCCCCGAGTTTTTACAGTACAGAAGCAGGAAAGAAAGTTTGCCGGCTAAAGAAGGCTTTATATGGGCTGAAACAATCTCCAAGAGCTTGGTTTGATAGGTTTAGACTGGCCTTGGAAAAATTTGGTTACATGCAAGCTCAATCAGATCACACTCTCTTCTTTAAGAAGACAGACTCCTTGACCTTACTTGATGTGTATGTGGACGACATTGTGGTGACGGGAAGTGATATTAGTGAGGTTGACTCCCTTAAGCAACATCTTCACAAAGAATTTGAAGTGAAGGACTTGGGAGAATTGCACTATTTCTTGGGAATTGAGGTAGCTCAATCTAAGCATGGCATTTTTATCTCTCAAAGAAAGTATGTCCTTTACTTATTGGAAGAAACTGGAAAGTTAGGAGTAAAGCCCACTGACACACCCATTGAGTTAAACCATAAAACAAGTGCTATGTATCAAAGGTTGGTTGGGAAACTTCTTTATCTTTGCCTAACACGACCAGATGTTTCATATGTTGTCAGTGTTGTTAGTTAGTACATGCATTCTCCTAGGACCACTCACCTTCTTGTGGTGAAAAGGAAACTTGCTTACTTGAAAAGATGCCCAGGGAAAGGCATACTCTTCAAGAATAGTGGTCACATGAAGATAGAGGTATATACAGATGCTGATTGGGCTAGATGCATTGATGACGGAAGATCCACCTCTGGGTACTGTGTATTTGTAGGGGGAAACAAGTGGAGAAGCAAGAAACAAAATGTGTTGCTCGCTCCAGTGTTGAAGCTGAATACAGGTCCATGGCCAATGGTGTTGCACAAGTGTTATGGCTGAAATCTTTGCTTGATGAACTGGGAATTGACTATGAGAAACCTCTAATGTTGTATTGTGATAATCAAGCAACAATTAACATTGCCCACAACCCAATACAACATGACAGGACTAAACATATCGAGGTGGACAGACATTTTATCCGAGAGCGAGTGGCATCTCAAGCAGTCACAAAAATCAAGTTGGAGACAGATTTACGCAAGTTGGGAATGACGAATATCTACTCCAAACTTGAGGGGGAGTGTAGAGATAGCTGATAGACTAGTAGTGTGTGTATGGTCCCAGCCCCACACTTTATTTTTACTGTTTATTTCTTTATATTTCAGTTATGGTAGTTGGGTTGGTTGAGCCATGTTTGTTTTCTTTTTGTTTTAAGGGTATTAGAGTAACTATACTCCTTGTAAAGTTATAAATATAAATAAGATTCAGTGGGGCGGTTAGTTTTGATTCTGCCGCACCCTTTCTTTCTCTCTTAATTCTTCTCTTCTCTCTTTTCTTCTGTTCGTGACCATCCTTTCTTTTCTTTTTCTACTAATTTGTATCAGAAAACAATCAGTTTCTGATTTATTTTTATTCAAGCCTTTCCTCCAAAATAGTCCATACTGCTGTGGTCCTAGTTGCTTTCCACATAATTCTTCCTCTCTTCTTCAGTTGCCTTAGGAAACTTGGGCTGAAAAGGCTTGCTTACATCCTACGAAGGAGACCACCTGCAACCAAAAAGAGAACAACAGAGGTCCCAAATGCAAAACACAGAAGGGCAAGAAAGGAATAAATGAGATAGGGATTCACCACTTGCAAGTTGCAAGGCAAAGGAAGCACATGTGAGGTGATTAGCATTTGTTTGGCCTTCTCTTTTGAAGCATATTAGTAGTGGGTCAGGCTTACTCCAAATCTCTTTCATAGGGAAATTCTCACCCGCATTATTTGGTCACAATAGGGAATTAAGGAAAGAAGCACAAGTAAAAACTGCATTGGGTATACCAGACCAAACTCTAGTGTCCTCTACTGGTTGATTCAGAAAGATTAGCTGAAGTATGATCAACAGTTGAACAAGTGCTTCACATTCATTATCCCTTGGACCTCTTCTAAAGCCAAAATCCCAACTTGTCCCTGAAGAAGAGAAAGTAGCAAACCTCGATACAGGCTGTTGTTTGTAATTAGATAATGAGAAGAAACTTGGAAAAAGCAAATTGAAGGGGGATTTCAGCCAGCCATAGGACTTTCAATTACCTTATGACAAAGACTATCGCTTTCTAAAGGAAACTTCCATAGCCATTTCCCTAAGAGTGCTGTATTTCTACAAATTAGGTTCCCTATTCCCAATCCTCTTTGCTCCTATGTCTTGCTAACTTGCTTCCACTTCTTCTCGTCCTCTGGATCCCAAAGGAAGTCCCTAATGATTTTCTTTAATTGATCTGCCACTCTAAGTGGAATTCTAAAGGTGGAAAGGTAGTAGATGGGCAGGTTAGCTAAGGTTTCCCTGATCAAAGTTATCCTCCCTTCCAACAAAATGTAAGTCCTTTTCCATAGTGCCAGCCTTTTAGTTAATTTCTCTACTACTGATTTCCAAAAATCCTCTAGTCATGGGTTCCCCCCTAATGGAAGCCCAAGATAATCCATGGGCCAATTCTTTACCTCACGCCCTAGAGTCTCTACCCACATTCTTATTTCTTCCTCTTCCAAATTAACCCCTGCTATACAGCTCTTTCCCAAGTTCACCCTCAGATTTGAAACCAACTCAAAGGTAACCATGAGTTCCTTTAAATTCATCATGTCATTTTGATTGCCTCCTTCACAGAACAAGATTATATCATCTACAAACTACAAGTGGGACACTGTCACCTCATTCCTGCCTACCTTCTATCCTCTAAATAATCTTTCCCGATCGGCCTTCACAACCATCTACAAACTACTAAAGTGAATAGGAAAGGGGATAAAGGATCTCACTATCTCAAACCTCTTTTGGCTGGAAAAAAATCTTTGGCCACCCCATTTATTAAGATTGAATAGTGTATTGAACTTAAGCATCCTTTAATCCACATTCTCCACCTGTCTCCCAACCTGATCCACTCTAAGATTTCAAGGAAAAATGACCAGTTCACTAAATCATAAGCCTTTTCCAAATCCAATTTGCAAACCGAGCATTTTCATCTTCTCTGTCTCTTCTCCACTACACACTCATTTGCTACCAAAATTTGGTCAATTATTTGTCTCCCTTCAACGAAAGCTCCTTGAAATTGTGAGATCACTAGAGGCAAACTCTTTTTAAGTCATCCATCTAGGACCTTTTCTATTATCTTATAGACTTCTCACTAGGCTTATGGGTCTGAACTCTTTAGGTTCTTTGGCTACCTTCTTCTTGGGAATTAATTCTATGAACGTTGAGTTTACTCCTCGAGATATTTCCCATTCACGAAATAACTCATTGAAAACTTCCAATATATCATCTTTCAAGAACTCCCAACACTCTTGATAAAAAGCCATGGAGAAACCATCCAGCCCTAGGGCTTTAAATCATTCCATCGAGAACATTACCTATATGATCTCCTTAGATAAAGATGTATATGACATATCAATTATTAAATTAATGACCCTTCAACCCATGTCCTTTTTAGTCTTCCCCTGACTCATCTAACCCCTTTAACTTGTGCCCAAACCATCACAATATACTTTCCATGATCACCTATTGGAGTTACTCCTATGTTGAATAAGTTCCTTTCTGATTCTATCCTTACTAGTTTTGTCACCCATCCATGTCAACATTCACATTTTTGCCACACACTTTTTGGAAATGTTGCTTTTTGATTGCCCAATACTTTGCTCTGTGCAATATTGTGGTCTTATAACAGTTTTATAAAATTTTCCTTTTCGCCTAGGTGGTATTCTCTGATTAAATAAGACTCTAGATGCACTCCTCTCCATTTTGTCCATCCCCCATCTCTCCCTTGTTATCGATTATTAAACCAAGGTAACGAGAAAGGTCACATCAAGATACCTCCTAGTCTCCAATCCTAAGTGTACCCTAATTTCCACTCCTATTGTCATTAAGTTCACATTGAATATATTCCACTTTGTTCCAACTTACTTTAAATACTTTTATATCTAAAGTATTTGTCTAAAAATAAAGGCTAGTGCAAAAAAATAAAGGCTAACTAGCTAACTGTTTAGTCTTGGTTAAGTCCCTTAACTGGAAGGTCTGATATCTCTCCCATAGGTGTTCTAACATTGGTTGGTGCATCCTCATACATGTCCATGATTAGGGTCTACATATCTAAATTGGGGCTTCTTTCTTTTCCGAAAAGTGCCCGATATCCCTTAGAGAACATTGATGTTTTAACTTTTTAATCTATATTCCTTTTCAAAAACATTCAATGATATTGGTTCTCTAAAAGCCTCCCTCAAAATGATCTCTCTTGTGACCCCTTGCTTGGCTAATGGCATCTCCAGGCTGTTTGCAGATCAGTGAACAAATCTAAATTGGGCTCTCGGCTCACTTGCTAGTTGTCACACTTCTCTTTAGATATTTCTGAGTTGCCATGAACATCATACATAACTTCAGATTGCCAAGGCTACCAGTACAATGCACTAGATAATATTCGCAATTTCCCATAAAAGAAACTTAAACCAATAAAAACTCAAGCCACCTACATTAATTGGCTTTTCTTATATTATAATATATAACAAGATTGATCACATATTTGGACTCTAAAGCTGTTAATTTGCTTATACTGAGATGAGAAGCAGCACACCTAACTATTATTTGAGATTGCATCAATATTTTAGACTCAGAACATATCTTTTTCTATGGTGCCAACTAGTCATCACATTGACTAGGGAGGCCAAAATGACAAGTCATCATCACGCCTCATCAACAACATTGATTTATAGTTGGCTTAGAGCCAGACCTCCAGGTCAACCCAATAAATTGGCTGCCTTCGTGACTTCGTCCCCTCAAATCCCCACCCTGTGAGAGCTCTTATAAGTGCAAAACCATGAGGTTTCACTTTGTTTTCATTACAATGATTTCTTAATAAACTGAAAAACAAGAACATGTAAACATTAGAAAAAGAAAGAAAGACCAAACCTGTGAAGTAACAAGAACAATGACATGTGCACAAGCGAAAGAAGTACTACCAAAATCTGCACTTGGATTTTCACACTGGGAAACAACCTGCATATCAGAATGGGGAATAGTCACAACCTACATACACATACATGTATCATCTGCATCTCTTGTAATAGGGAAATCTTCAAGTAGAATCGAACAAAAAGCACTCAAAATTACTGAATAATGATGACTTCTAACCATTAACAGGTGAAGAAAAGAAACATGAGTGAGATTTCAACTCAAATGCACCCTAAAAATTAAATGTCTATTGGTGAAAATTTTACGGAAAGTAAGAAAGTTTGTTGACATATAGAATCTCTTAAAAGAGCTGCATCTAGAGACAAATAAGCATCTAAAATACATACATATATACATATACATATACATATACATATACATATACATATACATATCTATATATATATAGGCTTTGCTTTGAAAGTAGTATGAGAGGAAATATGGAAGAGAAGAAAGAAGTTATTTGAGACCAAAACTGAAAAAGGTATGCAAACTGCCTATTTCTTCTTTTATTCAAATATAACAAGAATAAGTACAATTACAATAGTGCCCCAACAGTATACCACAATGTGTAATAATAATATAAGCCAAGGATCAAAATTTCAATACAACACACCCTGTATTGGGCGTATCGTATCATATCTTTTGGAACCCATTCCTTTTTAATAAAAAATATATAAAAACCTATATAATAATCAATTTTTGAAAAAAAAAACTAAAAAAATATTAAGTGCATGGTTTTTAGTACCGATACACCTCTGCCGATACACAGAGGTGTATCGATACTTTGAACCTTGATATAAGCCTTGATTACATCTTCAATAATCCCCCTCAAGCTGGTGAAGAGATATCAGGCACACTTTTTTCTTAAGATAAAACCAAAAATATATTAATAATGAAAAACAAATACAACCTGAAGGGGTGCTAAGACAGCACCACCATCCAAACTAAGGAGAGGCTAGGCACCCAAAGCCCAATACAATAATCCCCTAAATAACTACCACCCCAACCACCCCAAAACAGAATACAAGAAGAAGCAAAAACCCAAATCTGGAAACATTCTCTTGAGAGAACTGAACTGAACCTGAGCACCATTTCAAGGCTGCCAAAGGAACACCAGTCTTCTCCCTTCACCTGTGACATTTCCAACATTCCCCTCACTCTTCATCAACAATGTCTAGAGCCTCCCCTCCCTCTTCCTCCCAATTCTCACCCCCTCCCCAACTGCTTTCCGCTTGTTATTTTCCTGCCTTCTATTTTGTTCAAAGTTGTAGAGAACACTGATGTGGTCCCCATAGTGTTCGTATGGCAGCAATATTTCTGTTAGATATGACCGTGTTAGTTGGTAGTTATTTCATTTAGTTATTTCAGCTTTATTATTAGTTATTTCTTATTCTATTTGCCATGTAAGCAATAAGGGCAATTCAGCCCTTTTACAGTTATATAAATACTAAGAGTGGGTTGGCAGAAATCATTACCTTCCCTCTCTTTTTGTGAAACTCTCTTCGTGTACTTCTTCTCTTCCCTCTTCTCTTCTTCTTCTCTTCAAATTTTCATCCTTTTTTCTTTTAAATTCAAGACTGATTGTAGTCTAGATCGACACTGATGTGGACCCCACTGATCCCCCAGTGTTCATATGGCAGCAATATTTCTGTAAGATATGACAGTGTTAGTTGGTAGTTATTTCAGCTTTATTATTAGTTATTTCTTATTATATTTGCCATGTAAGCAATAAGGGCAATTCAGCCCTTTTACAGTTATATAAATACTAAGAGTG